TTCCCTTTCTTCCTTATTATATTTTGACATTTCCAGTCTTTGTATTATGATTATGATTATTATTATTGTTATTATTATTATTATTCCTCTCTTATCAGTTCTTTGTTCATGTGGTCCTCTCATTTTTTCTATTTACTTCTTTGGGTGTGGTTCCAGTCTGGATTTTTATCCTCAGTTTTCCTCAGTGGCACTTGTTCCTGTATTGTTACAGTAACACCTGAACAAAGTTACTAAGTTCTTTAGAACAGTGTTTTTCAACCTGTGGGTGGTCAAGAATACATGAAAGGGTCATGAACAAACTTTAGAAATGGATTCTCCTTTAAAGGAGAAAAACGTAGGAAACCACAGCTTTTCCCGTGAGGGCTGGCAGAGGTCCAGACTGCGAGGGGTTGCTTGGGGCCTCCCGTGCCCCACACTACCCTTTCCCCTGCCCCACACACTGTGGGGCTGGAGCCTGGGGGAAGGGGGTACAAAAAAGGTTGAGAACCACTGCTTTAGAAAATCCTTACTCAGATGCAAGTTTTCCCTTGATACAGGTTACTCAAGACTGCCCAGAGATTACTTTTGGTTTCCTCCCTTTCATTCCAGTGGCTACCATTATTCTCTTAAACAGACTACCAATATCCTTGCATTTTCCTTTTGTTTTGGCACACTGGTGAGCAGCTGAGACAGTCTGGTAGTCAGCCAAATGAGTGCTATTAGAGTTTGTCAAAAATAAGTATTCTTCAGAACCTAGTTTTGAGTTGGCCACACCAGCTCATATTCAGATCTGGCATAAGCACATGCTTAAGACTTCAGTGTCATTGACCTTAAGAGTTACACCCACATATGCCAGAACTATCTTTGGCTCTTCAGTACCAAAATCTTAGAAAACTGTAAATGGAAAGAATTATAAAAATTAAAGCAGGGGAGGAAACCCAGAAAATTGTTCTCAGTGTTTGCCAAGAGACAGATTGTTGTTCAGTCTGGTTTATAACCATTAGTTTATAAAGAGGTAATTATCAGTGGTGCTATGCAGTAATACTGAACAGCTAGTACTTTAAGTCATGAAGGGTTTATATACACTCCCTACTGGAACCAGTCAAACAGGACAGCGAATATTTCTCCTCCAGGTATTGCTACACAATAATATTCCTCGTTCTTTAGCTCTATTAAAGGAAGAATTACACATTGTCTTCATTCAGCTAAGCTGGTAAGACAGCATCAGTGTGTGGGAAATTCATCTTCAGTATCTGCAAATGACAGTGCTTGCCTCTCTATACAATAAAGCTCACTGCAGCAGCATTAGCTGCAGCACCTTTTGTTGCTTTTTGCTTACACTGTACAGTGTTGAGTAACTTGATATTTCTCCAAGTGACATTTAAACTTGACTCAAGAGGAAAGCTGATTGTAATTTTTTGTGAACATGTTTCAGTAAGCTTCTTATGACATTGTGTAGACATTGGCTTTGTGTAAAAAGGCATCAAAAGTACCTTCAGCCACTGTAAGGGCTATAATTCTCGCGTAATTTGGTCTGATTATTGTTACACCATTTATGCCTGATGTCGATAAACAATACTTGCTTAAAATTAGCCCATTTAAAAGCACACGTACATAATCAGCTTCCCCCCTTAGTCCTTCTTGACCCCACTTGGTAATTTCTTCGAAGTCATTTTAATTATATTTTATCATTGCAGTGCCTCTTAATTAGACAGTTTACCCTTCCCTTCTCACTGCATGAAATGCTGCTGCTAGAGCTTGATTCGCATGACCTAAATGATTTCTGCAATCAGTGTTCTCTAGTTGTTTGTCCTGGAGGGACAGTGAAGGATTATACTGTTTTAAAAGCATTTCTATTTAGCAAATGCCTAATTTACAGTAAGGCATCAGTATTTACCATATACAAAATGCAACTGACCCTTCTAATAAATGTTACTGCTTCAATTTTCCTATTTCATAGGAAGACCAGAAACAAAGATCTTATTATTAAGATCAGATGGTAGGCAATTATTCCTTATCCTTTAGTCCCTCACTCACTAAGCTGGAAACTGTTTAAAATGGCTTCAGTATCTGACAATCTCCCTCCCCAGCACTTTTAAACCTAGTGTGAGGATCATTATCTCTTTGACCAAAGGGAAGTGAGAAAGGCACTCCTTTGAAACCTCTTCCCTTTCCCTTTTGTCAAAAAACACCACCAATACCAATGCTTAAAAAGAGAAACTAAATGTAGTCACCTGTTCTTGCCTGATCCAATGTCCTCTTAAATCAATGGGAATTTTACTATTGGCTTTGATCAGCATTAGGTCTTTATCAGGCTAGATGGAGAACAAAGTGAAAGTGGCCAAGTGGAGGTACAGTGCCTTCATAGACAACATGCTCTGTGGCATCTCTACTACTTCTAGCACCAGCTGCAATTAGTAGCCAATGAAGGGATTATATTAGCTAGGACGCATGACATAAAGATAAGGATATATAAGATTCAGACTGCAGGCTGCTCCTGTGCAAGTGCAAAGGGGGAGGAGTGAAAGGGGAGAAGGGGATAAAGTCTCTTCCAATCATACAGTAGCTACACAACTCACAAGGCACTTTTCTTTCCTAACTGTGAGCTAAATGAAAGTTAGAGTTGATTAATGACCATGACAAAAGGAGAACAAACAGTGAAAGTGTTGGTAAGTCCGTGTATACCTGCAAGACTTGTTAAAGAATAGGAGTTTTAAACAAATTACTCCATGCAGCAGCGGCCATGAAAGGGAAGCATTCATCTTGTGTTATTGATTTTATTTATTACTTCAGGTCTCCGTCACCAACAGTCATGTCAAGAGCAGGAATAATAGAGTCTCTCATCTTCTTGAAATAAATATGTTTCTCAGGACAGGGAATATCTTTTCTCCACGTGTTTTAATAGCACCTAGCACCAGGGTTCCTCACTGGGACCTCTTTGTGCCACAACA